TCCGCACGTACAACTCATAACGCACGTGTAAGCATGAACACGCACGTGATGCGACGCACCCCAATAAATAGGGTATACATTTTTTTTTTTGAGAAGGCTGGCTGAGGTAGCCAATGGTGCACCTCCCCATAAAAAACAAAATTGGGCCCACATATTCCTTGTTGAATAGTCTTTTTCCTGGAGGAACCCAACAGTGCATATGCAAGGGTCCCAACATCTCAAGAGACGTTCAACAAATTTCGTATGAAAGAGGAGCAGGCCAGCAATATATGTTATGGATCCGAAGTCAGGTCTGCTTTCGAGCAGCTATGGGTTACTACTTACTACCGTAGCTCTTTCTTTCTATTGTTTCGTTTTCCTATGAGCACTTTCGAGCAGTGGCTCTAAGGGCCTTGCTTCACTCGCCAATCGTCGTGGTTCATTGAAGTTCGTCATCGTTTGAGGCCACAACGTTCTCTTTCCTCTACACACCACCTGGCCCACCCTCGAGTACGCCGCCTTCAGAAAGCAGTTGAAGCATCACATCAGGTGTGTTCTCTGACAAATCTTCCATCCCCTTCAACTCTGGCACCGACTCTTCTCTCGTCAACTCAGTTCCTTGCATGGACATTGGTTCCGTGGCCATTTGCGGTTCCGACCCCGTGCAAACCTTAGGAGATTCCATTGTTGCAAAGCGATCCGCTGACTCTTTGTCCTCCGCGGAATCCTCCCGTTGCGACGGGGGATGAAACGATTGATGTTCGGCCTGCACTCTATCTCTTCTTGACTCGTCGTTGTCGCCCACAAATTTTTCCATACCATTCCTTTCATCAACTTGCTCGTCCTTATGAACGGAGCTCGTGAATGGACGTCCCGCTGTACTCGTCAAAGTGTGGCCACCGTCATGTCCCAATTGCTGACTGTTGCCAAGACGTATGTTACCTTCAAACTCTTGCACCACTTATTGACTTGGCAATTTCCAAGGGATCAGACCGTGCGACACATTGGATTCAATGTCATAAAAGTTTGCGCTGTACTCCAGCATGTTCTGATCTCGCAACTTGTCATAAAGTGTGTCGGCATATGCTCCTTGTGCAAGGCTGTCTGATCCACCGTTCGCCTGCCGCACTTTGATATGAACCTGTTCCTTTGCGATTTCGAAAAACTTGCTTTTCAATACCCGCTTTCGCAATTGCTATTGGTCATCGATGCACACAACCATGTGCCATTTCCCGTTCCATACGCAGGGCTCGAAGACCTTCGGGTGCCACAATATATGATGCCCCCATTGGTGGTCTTCTGTCTCAACTACTGTCCCAATGTGCTGCAGGAAGTGCGGGCCTCCGGTGAACTCCTTCATGTCCTCTCGGATTATGTCTCCTGGCATCAGTTTGTCATCCTCGTCGGCCGGGAGCGGGAATTTGATGGCGTTGACGTCCATTCCGCCAACCTGTGCATTTTCCTCCTAAGGCACGTTATATTGGTTTTCTCTTGGGATCTTTGAGAGGCCCATGCTCACATACACGTTGTCCAGCTAAGTCAATATCCCGGGGTATCTGGCACTGCTTTCCTTGCCTTTGGATTGGAAATGTGGCTCTTTTCCACTTAACGAGGTCAGTCTTGGCTGCAACCCTTCATTGTTGTTGTTCTTGCTTGCATTGCCTGCACCAACTGGCCCCCGGATCTCATTCCCTGCACTCTCTTGCATTCCTTGTTCACACGACCTCTGCTTCCCACCACGAATGCCCTCTCGGCTTGCCACGACATCTGTTTGTATCCCCTCCATTGTCTGGCGACCCTCGCCACCGTCTAACGCCTGTTGATCATCTTCTTGAGCACCCGGTACAGGCAGATCCATATTGTCGTCTGATGTCTCCTCCTCGTTGTCGAGCACATCGAAGTGCTCACCCGCATCCAGCTCATCGGCGTATGTCTTCGCACGCAGTCTGTCTTCTTGTTTGTTGAACCACAAATGCTCACACCGCGCTATGAATATTTCAATCGCACTATTTTTCGCCTCATGGTAGCCTTGGAGATGTTGGATGACAATGATCACTTTTCGGTGCATATAACCGATGTCCTTTGGAGTCTTCGGGGCGTTGTCGAACAAGTATTCCACAGAGAGTCTCTCTTCTTGCTAAGCTTGAGGTACATGTCTCTCTCTGAAAGCCACAAAGTTTTGGGCCGTTCGAAGTGGCAACGACTTTCTGGCCTGTAGACCTGTATATCGAGGAATGTGGACGTCCAATCGAGCATTGTTGAGCCGACACGCTTCAGCGAGCAATGAACCCGTAGGAGAATCAAAAGTAAAAACCGTGTTAAGAGAAAAAAAGAAAAATTAAATGTAATATAGAATCTAACAGAGAAAAGCCTTCACGTACACGTGGGGACAATTTTCTTTAACCCAATATTACCTTTATTCTCTCCAGACTCCCCCATGAGATTTATCCACTGAGTTGTGCTCGACAGCTCCGAGTAAAACGATTTCTTGGAGCATACCCTAAACCGTTCCCCCAGTGATGGCACAACGTTTTGACTGTTGTGTCCAAATAGGGTTGCACCTCTGCCAAGTAGAGCTGGTTAGTCCGAGACTCGGAAGCAGCGGATTGGATAGGCAACGCTGAGCCGACGAGATTTTCTAACCATATCCCAGGATTGACCCACAGACCTGCATAGGAGGACAACAAATTAGGTAACACAACTCGTATCAACCTAGGATGTAGGGCAGAGTTAGACTAAAGAGGACCAGATGGCCAAGTGCTGCGAGTATTGCGGGCTTTGCCCTAACTTAGTACCCCCGCTAGTAGAACCTGTTGGCGACAAGATTCGACAGACTACACTAGTGGGAGAAGCGAAAAAGAAAATAAATACCAAATAGAAAAGAAAAAAAAAATGGGATAATGCCTTCTCGTAGACGTAGGAATATGTTCCTTAACCTAGTAATAATCCTTATTCTCTTCGGACTACCACCAAGATTTGATCCAATGAGCTGTTATCGACCACTCCGAAAAGTATGGTTTCTTGGAGTATACCTTAATCCGTTACCCCTGTGAAACCACCATGCTCTGGTCGTTTTGTCCCAATAGGGTTGCGCCTCCGATCACTCTTGCAACTGGGCGCTGTACTGACCTATTATATAAAAACGCGGCTTCGGTATTATGCTACTATTACCCCCCCCTAATCTGAAGAGACTTGAAGGATCTTGGACTGGGAGGCGTCGTGGCACTTTGTGAACTCGAAAAACCCTTATTTCCTGGCCCCTTCAAGAGAGGGGGTCCGATAGTCAGTAACCTGAGGCCTAATGGAACCCCCTTCTTCAAGTCTCATAGGACAGCAGTGCGCGGGTCCTTCCGATTAGAATAGGCGGAAGGACGTCGAGAAACTAGTAAGATCTTGGACCGGAAAGCGTACTGATATCCTGTGGACTCGACTTGCCCCAATCTTCGGGCCCCTCTATGGGAGGGGGTCCGATAGTCAGTAAACCTGACGGCCTAATGAGGCCCCCCTTCCAATCTCATAGGACAACAGTGCACGGGTCCTTGCGATAAAAAACAGGTGAAAGGGCGTGGGGAGACCCCCCCGCCCCCAGTTTCTCTTACGAGCAGAGAACCCGGCCTCTAAAAAGGCAGAAAAGACGCGATTAGGCCTCTATCGAAAAGAAGAGAAGAAAATGGCCGGATGACTGCCCCGACCAACCCCAAATGGGAAAGCGACAACTATGGGGGATGTATAGCAACTAAACGACAAACCGCCCTTGTCAACAGACCAAGACCGAAACCAAAAAGGAAACACGGCTGGGTACGGTCATTACCTCAGCTTCGTTACTCGACCTGCCAACCCGACCGACGTCCTGAGCTCCACAGATCGCCTGCTGCTACGGGAACAGAAGTGATGCTCCCGAGATCTGGGCTACGGTCGTTTTGAGTTGAACGACTTGTCTCTTCTCCGATGCTTCGCGTCCTCGAACGGCCACCTCTGCACGTCTGAAAGCAACCGCGTGCTCCCCTGAGCTCCGTTCTACCTCCCACCTCAGAGCCATAAACCGCCACCACAAAAGATACTGCTAGATTCCATAGGAAGTTCGCCCGCAACGTGGCGATCTTCGATTCAAGCGTTCCATAAAGTTCCAATGAATGAAGTGTCCCTCTTCCCGATGTTGCACCACCCTTCCACCACAACCCCGGACAAGTTCTCGCCACTACTGCTCGAGCTCACCTGAAGCTCGACTACTGGATGGCACGCCGTTCCGGTGCTGAGCGCTCCGGGACATGGCGAGTGAACTCCGCGCCTTCTACGAGCAGAAACCCTAAGGCGCGTCACAGGAATTGAGCGCTACGGCGCCGCCTCCCACTTCGTCCCTGACCTTCCCCCCGTTGCGCTCTTTTATTACACTATATGCGGTATGTTGGGGGAAGACAGGAGCAACATAGCAGCAGTGAGCCCTGGACCCAAGAAAAACCACCAACCCCGCAATCACCACGACCTGGGGCCAAGTCCCACTACCGGTCGGAGCGTTGAGTTTCCTTAACGCCCGTATCTGGACCTGTTTGCGGGGACGTGGGGTTGAGGAAACTCAACACGATTTCTGAATATCTCCTCAATCATGCCCAGATTCAGGCTTTGAGGAAACTCAACGCTGGACCTGGCCCTCTAGCAGAATTCATTCGCCATTGAGCTCCAATTCAGCATGTGGCTCAGATCAGGCTGCGGTCCTGTGGGCGCCGAAATGGCGGCACACAACTGTCCCCCGTCCGCGCGCACACGCTCCCGACTCCCCCGCGCGCACACATTCCCCACTCCCCCAGCCTCCTCTGGCGGCACACAACTGTCCCCCGTCCGCGCGCACACGCTCCCCACTCCCCTGCTCGCACACATTCCCCACTCCCCTAGCCTCCTCACACGAACACAACCCACACGCTCCCCACTCCCCTGCTCGCACACATTCCACACTCCCCTAGCCTCCTCACACGAACACAACCCACACGCATGTTGCGCTTGAGTACCTAGCTCCGCACGCGGGTGCGCCCAGCAATTGGCGCTCATGCACAGACGCACGCACTCACACACACACACACACACAGGCAGACGCCCGTGCGTGCAGACACCACCCACCACCCACATGCATCGTGAAGGAGAGGCACGCTCTTCAGGCAAGGAGGCTGAACGGCGGGCAAAGGATTAGTGGCCACTCGGTGAGTTTAGAGGGACACACCCTACTGGTAGATCAAACCTCATATCTCGGAACGTATATGACCGCATTTCCAACCCCGCCTGGATGCACCTGACGGCTATTACGTCCACAGAGAAGTAGGAAAAGTTCTAGTGTGAGTATGACCTCACTCATAGTATTCATGTTGCGTACGAGAGGGTCGCTTCTATCCTCCCCTGGCTCAGAAATTCTCACTATAATTTTCCGCATTTCTGTTCTGTTCTGAGTGATGCCCACCCCTACACCATCCATGCATGTCATCGATTAGGACTTACTTGGATGGAGGGCCCCCGGAGGGCCAAGGCCTACCCTAGGACAGGGTGTGTGGACGTTTTCCATTTTTGGGAACTAC